GGACCTCTATGTATAGTAGTAATTAGTGACATGTAGAATAGCAATTAGTGACCTTACCACTCTCCACTGGATTTAGGTACAATCCTGCTGTTCAGGAGACAAGCCCTTTGTTGAAAATAATTGTTTTATTAAGAAAAAAAGTAGTTCCACCATGATTCAAATACAGTGGTGCCTCGCTTAGCGATGTTAATCCATGCAGAAAAAATCGCTGCTAAGCGACAACATCGCTAAGCGAAAATAAAACGCCCATAGAAACGCATTAAAATGCGATTAATGCGTTCCTATGGGCTAAAAACTCACCTTTAAGCGAAGATCCTCCATAGCGCCGCCATTTTTGGTGCCTCTAAAGCGAGGTATCCATGCCTGAAAACAGCGGGCAGCCATTTTGTTTACCCAGCGGCCATTCTGAAACCACCGATCAGCTGGCTAAAAATGGGGGCTTTGCGATGATCGCTTCCCTGCGATCATCACAAAGCAATTTTCCCCCCTAGGGACCATCGCAAAGCAATCGCTTTTGTGATGGCAAAAAGTCCATCACAAAGCGATTTCGTCGCTACACGGAGCAATCGCTATGAGAGGCACCACTGTAAGCTTACTATTCCTAGGTTAAAATAATAAAAGCTAAACTAAGCTAAGTAACCATTTTGGCAACTTGTAATATAAGTCCTACCCTTAGCATATAGTGGGGTCTTGACTTGAGAACTTAATCCGTATTGGAAGGCGGTTCTCAAGTCAAAAAGTCTGTAGGTCAAGTCTCCATTGACCTACAGTGCATTGAAAACCGATTAATCCAGTAACAGGCCGTTTTTGTTCCATTTTGGGTTTTTTCTGGTCTGTAAGTCAATTCTCAGGCTGCAAGTCAAACCTAAATTTTGCGGCCAGAAAAGTCTGTAACTCAAAAAGTCTGTAAGTTAAGGGTCCACTGTACAGAGAAGCTGGGCGAATCTCTCCCTCCTCTCCTTCAAAAAGACAAACCTCTCTCTTGTAACATTCCACAACACCATGACATCAACATTCACATGCATGAAACACCATTTTTCTACATGTCTCTGAACCACCTTCTTTCTGACACTTCCAAGCTGTCAACCAATTAAGATCATGAGGGCGTAACACAGTTCACCACCCCTATTTCACATGAGATCTTGCAGGTGTCTTATCTCATCCCAATTAAGAGGAATGTGGTGTTTGGTCTTCTCCTTAAATCTTGCTCGTTATCTTGGTGCCAGGCAGAGCAAACTTGGAACAACAATTCCATTAGAACATTTCAGTGGTTTAAATCCAAACTATACTGAACCTAACAGACTCCATCTTTGTCTGACTACAAGTCCCATTTTCCTTCTAATTCCTGACAGTAACTTTTTATCTTGTGTGACTCCAACTCTGATATAAAGTTATGGTTTATTAACCAGCAATAAACCAAAATCTGGACCTCTACAAACATTAACTTTTTGAAATTCCATGACACTAATGATCTGACTACATATAGCCATTGCTTTTGGAATGCCTTATAACTCTTTTTAAAATCTTAATGCCCTTGTAGCACATAACACACTGTTGCTAAATTATAATAAACAGTAGGCCACTGTGCCAACTCTCTACTAGCCGGCAGGAAGCCCTAGATATATGGAAAAATGATCCAGAATGTGCTACTAATTTTTATCTTCTGTGAGTCAGACATTTAAGATGTGTAAGCTTTAAACTGCTCTATTCTGCCCCCAAGCCCATCTAGAAATTTCAGCTGTATAGTCAGCTTGTTCAAACATGTAGCTTGGCACCATAGGACATTAGAAGTTATTAAGAAGGACAAAACAGTGCCGCAAATGGCATTAAATGTGATTCAGCAATGGTGCAAGCAGAACCAAATTAGAGACTATACACATTTATCACAGGTTTGAGGGGTACAGTTTGTCTTAAAATAGTTCTTCCTAGTCATCTTGTGTGACACTGTCACTCAAAATAGATTGCTGAGAGTGTAAAGAGTGAAAATGCACAAACTGGGCAAGGCTAGGTATAGAAATGGACATTCTTTGTCTGTGACAATACGTCTCTACAAATGTATACTATTAAAACCTTTTTTATGACACTTCAACCCCTCAGGCAAATCTAAATTGGAGATACAGGGATTACTACAACATTGTAGATATGTTTTCTCAAAGTATATTACATCTCAGAAGTTACAGTTTGGTTAGTGTAAAATGAAATCTTAGCAACTATCTATAATCTCCTGAAAACACATATGCTAAATATCTTTTTTTCAAGTATGTCAGCTTTGAAGAAAACAACTAAAATATGACACCACTTGTTCAAATAAATTCAAAAGTGCACTAACATCAATTCGTACCAATCACCATATATAAAACATTGTTAAAGCATAACAATGATAGCAATCAGTATTGCATCAAACTTGGAATTACATTGCCTCCATTGTGACTGTTGCACTCTTTTTAAGGGTGGCACCTGTCAGGTGACCGGTCTACTTGTATGTAATAATTATACAACAGTAGACGAGAGTAGAATAAATTCACCTCAACAATGAAAAATAGCTGCCAGCTTTCCTGGGTCAATTTTACAAGGACCAGTTATATCCATTAATGAAGAAAACAAGATGCATCCTGTCTCCAAGGCTCTGGTCTCCAAACATGCCTACCCAGGTATTTTATTCTATTGCCTCCAGTTTAATACAGCACCTGCTGCACCTGCACGTTCTGCTCTACTTTAGCGACAGCCCAGTTGAGCAGGTCTGCCTAGCAGCACTTCCAGGGAGTGGCTGGCTTTTAATAAGCTCTTTACTTCACCGAGATCATGCCCAAAGGGCAACATGACTAGCCTGGTTCCCCTCAGATTTACCAGTGCAGAAAAATAGTACTAGAAGAGACCAACTTTCAAAGATCATACATCAAAGCTGCCAAAGCCTACCTGGCCCTTTGGCTCTCAGACACAGGCAACAGTCACCTCAACGTAGCCCCCCAAATTTTTCAACTATCCACACTGAAATATCATCAAGTGTTACTGAAAGGGATAGAAAGGGACGGTCTACAGTAGGCCAAAGGAACTATCCTACTAATATAAACTCATACTTGCCTAAATGTCAACCCCCTTCCTAATCCATTTAAAATTAGCAGCCAGGTAATGTGGCATTTTTATTTGGCAGCATTTGCAGTCCAAGGAAATGTAGTCTTGACCTTTCTCAGCAGACTACCTGGCCATTTGCATTGAAGCAGCCTCCCCCCCCCACACAAAGACATGTATAAGCACATAACCCAACTCCCTTTGAAAAAACAGCACAGAGGAGCAAGCCACTGTTAAACAGAGTGTCTTTCATATATGCGTGGAGGTCAGTCTCGTAAGCAACATGCTTTTAAAAAACAAAGGATAAGAAACATCTTATTTATATCACTGAAAAATGAAACACTTTCAAATACAAATAAGCTTTGTGAATGCTCATCAAAATAGAAGTACAGATTTCTATCTCAACTGTAGGTTGAGCTAAAAGCCATCAAATTATCAGAAAATCAAACAAAACACCTAGTCTTAATTAGTCACAGCAGCAGTCTTGTAATTTAACATTCAGTTAAGTCAAAATGGTCAAGTAATAATTGCATCCAAGCTCTTCATCAGTTCCATGAGAATGGCGCCTGGTGCATAGTCCCCAAACGCAATGCATACTGGTTTCACAGTACTGTACACTGGTACCTCGACTTAAAAACTTAATCCGTATTGGGACTGCGTTCTTAAATCAAAGCACCATTTCCCATAGGAATGCACGGAAAACCATTTAATCCGTATCTGCTGTTTTTCGTTCTTAAGTCGAGGCACTGTTCTTAAGTCGAAGCATTAGTTCCCACAGGAACTAATGCTAAGCTGGTTAATTCGGATCTACTACTAGGGGGCATTTTTTTTTCTTCTTTTGACCTAAGGTGAACTTAGGTCAAAAAAAGGGCAGGAAAGATTTTTTTCTTTTCTTTTCTTTTCTTTTGGTTCTTAAGTCATGGCTCCATTCTCAAGTCGAAGCAACTTTTTCTCAAATCGTTCTTATGTAGGGACATTCTCGAGGTACCACTGTATAGCTGTCTCTTTCTACTCTGAAGGCGGTAAAGGTTCTTGAAAGATAGATAAATGGCAGAGTACCTCATATACAGGCTGCCTGTTTACTATAAGGTTCCATTGTGGACCCTATCTATGCAGCTCTGTTCTGAAGGGTAGCTGGGCATCCCCCGAGTTACACTGGTAGGGAGAAGAAGCCAACAACATGAGGGAAGGGGGGGGAAGGCTCACTGAAGCAAGAGAGGGATGCCAAAACCCCAAATAATTTTTTCTAAGAGTGAACATGCACTGCCATACATGCTCCACAAAATAAGCCAACCATGCCATTTAGTATACTAAGTGACTAGTAAGTCACAGTGAAGGGAGAAACAAGGATCTGATCATCGATCTCCTACTGAGATCACTCTATTCCATTTACAATGCATTTGGCTGCTGATTACTGTACTGGCAAGCTTTGGCAGGTTTGTACAGTAAGTAAGCTCTGAGTTTATTCTGTCTCATTATTCCCAGACAAGTTAGTATGAGGACAAATGTACGGGGGGGGGGGAGGAACACAGAGCGAAGGAGAGAAATCTGGCAGCACATAGGTATTTGCAACAGAATGACAAGACCTTCCACATTCAAATCAAAAAAACTTCATGTGTTTCAGCCCACAATTTCAATCGTTTTATGACCAAGTAGAGACTTCATTAGGCTCTGCCTCTCACTTAGAATGGTCTGAAAGATCTTAAACTGAAAAACATGTCCATACCATGTTCCACTCTCTTGACAGGAGATTATTAAGTCAGCGGGAGAAACAAAAAACTTGCTTGTTACAGGGCACAAACACGATGAGAGTTCTGCTCGATAGCTCAGATGCTGAGGTAACATCAAATGAAAGCAGTAGATGGAAACACATGAACTGTAGCTTCAGGCTGAAGTAATATCAGGTGCATCTCTACACCCTCAGGGCTTAACTCCTACACGTTTAAGTCCCTCCCATTGAAACAACCTCCTTCAGTTTCACTTAATCAAGCAGCGGACAGGTACTTCTCTCTCAACACTGACAGCAACAGTTTAAGAATCCTGAACGATTTGGACATAAGCTCCCAAATTCACAGGTAAGTGGACTTTTCGGCCACAGATGAAAAAGGTTTAATCAACTAACTGAAAGAATACTAATTAGCTGTATTTGTTTGCTTCCTCATGCACTTTATTGTCCCGGCAAGAAAGGCAAGTCCTCTTCTAGAACAGGTGCATTACTTCACAAAGTTTACAAATTAAACAAGAAAGAGGTGCAAACATTATTTTAAACTGTACGAAGAGTAGCTTCTTATTTATTGTACTTCTTTTCTTCAATTTTCAATCACGGTTATGGACGTTTTCAAATTGAAAACCATATTTTAAAAAGTGTATTTTGGCTTCCTTGCTTAAATTGTTATGTTCCATTATATTGAAGTTTTGATAGCTGATGTAAAGATTTAAATGAAAAAAACATAGAACATTTTGCAAAATTTCACATTTCATTGTTCTAGTTTGTGGTTGCGAAACCAAAAGAATCCCGTGGTATCTTAAAGACGAACAAATACATTATGGCACAAGCTTTCGTAGACTATAGCACATTCCTTCTCATGAAGTGGAATATCGTCCATAAAAACTTATGCTATGATAATTTTTCTAGCCTCTAAAATGGCAGGGAGCTCTGTTAATTTTACTGAAGCACGGTATAGTATTGTCTGGCTGCAAATCACTTCGTCTAATACTAAGCATATTTTATGCATGGGGAAATGAAAAAGTATAACTTCAGTACTAACTTTCTACTGCATGTTAGACATTCAAAGGTGAATAAATGAGCAATCTCATTAACTGAAAATAATTTTTTAGTTTTTTAAAACAAATTCATTTTTACTATCGGTCTCAAATGCTAGTCATGTTTTACAAATCTTAACCCATTCCTCATTAGGCCATCTGAATTGCTATAGAATGGATCTTTGTTTCTTTTATCTATACTCTCTATCATACACAAAAATTTGTTTTTACATTTTAGTTTCAGCTATAAAAAATCCAGAAGGGAGGAGCACCTAGTCATTAGAAAATCTAGACTGAAACACAATCCAGAAGTTTTGTTCTTGCAAAATGCTAGTTAGGTGACAATGGCATGATCTTATATTATGCAGTAATGCCACATCACAATATTTTAATCACAGCATGCTCTTCTAAATGCTCCACCCTAGTGAGGACTCGTCAGTCAGATCAATATCACTAAAAAGAATGCTGCAATAGTAGCTGACTGTGTGTATTAACGTCCTTTAAAAACATTTGCATAGCCATTCATAGCTACGTGCTATGAAGCAAGATAATTATACCACAGTCTGCAATGAAGAATACTTTTAAAACTGTCCCTTTTAATTTTTTTCCAAATAGTGTGTATTAAGACAATGCTCGAATTAGTATACAGTGTAAAACAGAACTGACCCTTATTTTATTCTAAGCACAGAAAACATAAATCTTGTCCTGATACTGCATTTTTTTAAAGTACAAAAGAGACCATATGGCCAAATGAAATTCTGTACTTCCTTGTGCAAATGTGAATATCTGCAAGTCTTGCTACATAAAAAAGTACTGCCATCTTCAGCACAGTGTGAAACTAACTACAACAACCAGGAAAGGGGTCATATTTATACAAAAATCTCTAACTGCATTTTCAGCTCATGTTGCTCGGTCTCACAAAAATGACAGTATACTTCTGTATACTTCTAAAACCTCTCTAACAAATTCTGATGAAACTTTCACTTTGAAATTCAAAGGGACAATCCATTTTTTAACATACAAATCCCTGATCCTACTGTTATTATTCCTCAAGTATATATACTATTCAACTTGGCTTATATCCAATTATGTATGCATGGAAATACATCTTAAGTATGCAATCCTTTCTAAACTTATTCAGAAGCCCCACTTAAAACAATGTGATTTACAACTTCTTGGTAAATTTATCTATGCACTTCACCAATTACTTTGTGTTCAGTTTTCTTCTTTGCTGTTTTGTTTAACTGATGAAGAAAATTAATTCAAAAGGGAAATGTGAGTTTTCTATTGCTGGAAAATATATATTACAGTCCAGTCTGGGGAACTGAGCTGAAGGGAAGATAATTGTCCTTTGCAAACACCTATACGCCTATTAATGTGGCAGAGAAATCTTCCAGTGTTGCTTTCTATACGTTTTACATGAATAAGTACAGTTCAGGAAATGAGCACAGCTCAGTTATCTTCAGGTTCCCAAACAATATTGGGACGTTAAAGTGCAGAAGTTAAGTCCTTAAAATGTGACTCTTCACTCCATAAAAATATTACATAGGAGAATAAATAAAAATGTATTTCAAACAATAAACTTGGTTCATGAAAATGAAACCATTATTTATTTATTTGCTTGCTTGCTTGCTTTCCTGAAGATATAAATTAATACTATTGCTGTGTATCAGCTTGGTAAACCTAGGAGATGGTTTGTTGTGACAACAGAACCTTTGAATATTATTTGCACAGAGACATAGCAGCCAGCACTTAAGTACAATAGGTACAAACAAACTGAACTCACCAAGTCTTGCACATTGGTTATATATCATCACCCAAAATCCAAACCATGGTCTTTCAGAGCAGACTGTCATACTATGATCTTTTAGGATGTGCTGCTGTTTGGTAATATTTATTCAAATGCTAGTGTCCAAACAATTGTATGAGTATACAGAAACTAACTCAACCAAAAATGCTGCACAGGTAGTGAATTAAAAGCTGTTAAACATAATACATTATTGCTTTTTGTATAATTCTGAGGGCTGGGATGCAAAGGGGGTCTGTTTTCCAGACAGCAGCCTCCTCAACACAGTAAATGGCAACTACTCTGAAACAGATGGGACTCTTGAATTTATGGGAGTCCTCTGTAAAAAAAAAGACAAAAATTTCTCCTGAGCATCCTTTTTTTCATCCCAGCCTATATCAGAAACCACTGAAACCTCCTTAGCCTTGCATATAGAAATGGATTCCTATACTTCTGTTAATATGCATAAATACTAAACAAAAATGAATAACTAAAAATGAGTATATTGGTATTTTAAATGAAATTCTAATAGTCTGATATTGCTGCAGAAAATCAAATTTATTTTAAAAGTGTCATAGATCTCTTATTCTCTTACTAACCATTTCCTTCAAACTGAATATGTTATAATGACGATACAGAATGCTTTTCATTTACATTTGTTCATAATGAAAACTGCAATGAGAAGGGCTTCTTTAAAAATAAAAGCCATCAGACTTCCCTCTTAAATTAACAGGTAGTATTACTGTAGTTTCGGGTAACTCAGATACAGTATGTGGTTTTGCAACAGTCATCATTTTGATAATGGTGCTTACAGTTCATGATGAAATCATCAGTTTTTAGATCTCTGCCATAACACATCCTATAAAATCATGAGAACATGACTCTGAGAGCTTCTCACGCCTTCAGAATCAGCAAACATAATGGAACAAGTCAATACAAGCCCATCTGACTTATCTGTGGAGAAAATCACTAGCTTGTATTAAGAGTATCCACTTGTTTTATTCCTAAGAGAAACCGAGCATACTGTGCCCCTATAAATCAATGGATGCTCAACCCAGCTCTATACTTGACTGTATAGTAATAGCATACTTAAACTAACTAGACAATAGTGTGCAAAATCATTTAAGTAGTAATATGGTAAGATGATGAACCAGTACACACAGATAACCAACAAAAAAGCTGGTGAAAGGATGCCCTTTTAAGCACCTAATGCTGGGCTTATTAAGGGGTGCTGCACATTATTCGCACTGGTTAGTACTTAAATATTTGCTTAGGCTGCTCAAATGTTTGTTTGCTCTCTAGTAGATCTAGGTCAGCACTCCAGGATGGAGTCAATTTCACTCCACCCGACTTCTCCCCAGTAAGGAATCTCTTCCTCTTTCCCCAACTGGCTAGACTGGATTATGCTCAAGCTTCTGCTTCTATAACCAGGCCCTGCCTTCTGTCCTGCTTGCCTCATCCACCTACAATTCTCTCCTCCTCTGCTTTCATCTTTCTCCAATCACATCCTGAGTAGATAGAAGTTCCTCCACTGTTGCTTGAATGAATTCTCTTTAATTAATTCAACAGGAATTTCAGGTAGTCAGCAACCCTGAACTTCAGGTCAGTTAATTAGGGCTCTACCTAAATATACCAGTGCTTCCTCCCAGTGCATTCATGTTTGTAAAGGCTTCTACATTCTTAGCTTTCAGTATTAGCTGCACTTTTCTCATACTAGTTGTAGTTCATGAATTTAGGCATGAGCATGAAGTCATGAAGTCTGGAAATGGCACCAAACTATACAATGTCATGAAGATAAAGCTAAATTGTTAATAACTTTCCATGGTGAGTGAAGGTGCAATAAATGGCAAATGAGATTTAATACAATTAGTGATGTCTACTGGGTTGAAGAATCCCACTTCATATATAAACCAATCTGGTTTTTCTCAATTTGTTATGACTCGTCCAAGAACAAGTGCCCATATTGTAATGCCTTTGTTAGTGGCCATTACTGCATCTAGGTCAGCCATGACATATATATGTGTCATGGCCACCCCAGATGCAGTAATGATCACTGACAAGTAGATATTTTGAAAGGAATTTAGGCAAATTCAGAGAGATTAGGTCTTTCAGGGACTATCAGATAAGAAAACTATCTGATAGTCCCTGATGAGGTTCCATTTATTTTTATTTATTTTATTTATACCCTGCCTATCTGGTCTTGCGATAAATGGAACCTCAAAGGCAATACATCTACTAATGCTGGTGGACACATTCAATAGTCATGCCCTTCTCTTTAGCTTATGAGAAGATGATGGAAACAGATTAACAAACTCTGTGGATTCTTTGATCTTGATACCTGAAGGAAAATATTTTTTTTTCAGTACTAATATTCTAATATTTCTTACATTTATTTCTGCCTTGCAGTTTCCTGTTGCAAGCCCTGTCTTCTCCTGATGCTTTCCAGAACTGGCTTCACATCAGATCTTTGAGAATATCTTCTTTGACTTACAAGGAAGATTCAAAAGCTCATCCTTAATTTAAATTAAACAACACCACCTTAACAAATAGTTATAAGAGAAATCCTCGGACTAATCATCAAAGCAGAAAAATGAGCCTCCTCAAAGAGCGAAAGCCAAAAAAACCTCATTATATCCCAAGACCTCCAGGAAAACCATTTAAATATAAGTGTTTTCAGTGCCCCTTCACCTGCAATGAGAAATCACACCTTTTTAACCATATGAAGTACGGGCTGTGCAAAAACTCAATTACTTTAGTGTCTGAACAGGATCGTGTTATTAAGTGTTCAAAATCAAATTCCTTGGAGCCTAAACAGCTCAACCAGGCAGACTCTGCTGCCAAACCAACTTCCTCTAAATCTGTATCAAATCTTGATTCTAAACCTCAATATGCTTTTGTCAAAGAGGATGCCAAGGAAAACATAGAAGTACAGAACCAAGAAACAAATAAATCATTAAATGGGCAAAAAACATCAATTTACAAGGAGTTAACTAGCAATGAAGAAGACTCGGTTACCATACAGCCTACTCTTGAAGCCATTGTAAGACCCTCTGCTTTTGTCCCAGTAGGAGAACACCGGGTGCATACCAAAGACACTAATGATGCATCGCAGTTGACATCTCTTTCTGATTCAAACAAAGCCTCCTCCTTTCATGCAAAATCAGCATTCCATGCTCCAACCAGCCCTTGGAAAACAGGTTCCACATTTATGGCACCAGATTTTACTAACAAAATTCCATCTGCAAAAGGCTTCACCTCTATTCCACCTTATATTCAGCCTATGATTCCTGAATATTCACCTTCATTGTATGAGCACGGATTGGCGATCTATGCACCTTATTTCCTATCAGGAAACTCCCATGATTGTGAAAGTTCAGTGCTCTCTGTTTACAGCTCACAAGATCAAAGGCATTTCCTTCCTCACCCTGGACCGCTTCCTAAACCAATAAATCCAGCAACTTATGAACACTACCGTTTATTCCAGCAATATCATCCTAATCCCGCAGTACCATATGGATTCTGTAGACCAACAGAATCAGCATTTTACAGACTGCCACATATTACAAGTATTAACAGAGATCCAAGTTCTCATTTAATGGAGGAAACAACTTTGTTGTATCCAGCTTCCTCAAATCCTGCTAGGATACAGTCACTGAATTCTCAGAAGAAAACGGCTGATTATGAAAAAGAAATCTCTTTACAGCATACCAAAAGTCATACTAAAGAGGATCAAATCGAGAGAGAAAATGCCAAAATGAGTCCTCGTGCTGGAAGTGCAGCAACAGGGTCCCCTGGTAGACCCAGCCCAACAAATTTCACTCAAACAAGCCATAGCTGTGAAGGAATTTTTGATCTTTCTAGTAGGTCATCTTCCATTAACATAAACCAGTATGATCAACCTGAGGAAGGCTTTACAGCATTCAGACCTGTGAGGAAACGTACGGACCACTCTATCCTCACTCTATCAAAAGAAGACAGAGGAAACTCACCAAGAAGGTAAATAAATAAATAAAATCACAAGCGATAGTTTTTAAAATTCTACAGAAAACGGGCCCTTGGTATATATCACACAGCTAATTAGAGAAGAAAGTTCATTACATGTCAGGCTGGCATTCACAAGGCATGAAATAAACATGCATATGATTAAAGGTGCATTCCCTTACAGTAATCAGTGAAGGCCAATATACTGGAGTGGTTCGCAGTTAGTGTCACCTCTGCTCACTTGCTCTCACAACAATACTACATTAGTATCTTTTGCTCTACCTCTAGCCTGGCAACTCAAATAGCTATCTCACTATGTAGAGAAAAATAGATTTCTCTCCTCCCTACAAACCCCGCACAGGAACATGGTGAGACTTGCGGGTGACAAAAGAAGGCATGACATCCAAAAGAAAAGCAGGCTGACTGTTCACCATCCCTGCTGTATACACTTAGCAGGGAGTAAGTACCCCTGTTCTTAGTGTGGCCAGCGTCTCAGCAGGTATGCACATTCAGGTATGTGTTTTGAGTCTAGAGAAAAATAGAGCGAATCTGCACTGAATAAGACATATGGAGGTGGAGGAGGTCTAATATGGAAGTGACTGATTATTATTGTGGGTGAAATGATTATTAGTTTCGTTAATTTCACACCAATATTGCCATATTTGACTTACCCATATCTTTGTTTCATGCTTCACTGAATTTCGCTATTTCATAAACATCCTAATCCTCTGCATATTTTCTAAGAAATATGTCCAAAAGATTTACGGTATATAGGCTCATGCCAAAATAAATGAATATAGGATTGCAAACTTAAATCAACAGATGTTCAGCAATATGGCACTATTGGTTATAGGATAACCAAAACGCGAAGCAACATTGTAATAATATGATTATTTTAACCCTAGACAAAAGTGTGACAGAGGAAATATATTATAAAAACACAATATAAAATAGCCAAGACAAAAGGAATACACCAGAAAGCAAATCTATTTCACTCCTACTTCAACCATAACATCATAATTTCAATTTACTGAAATTCCAATAAATTCAGGATTAAACTGATTTCCCAGTAACTACAAAGAGGGGACTAGATTATGAAGACTGAACCACTGAACCTGGACTTGTGTCCTCAATTGTAGCCTTGACAAAAGTACAAGGATGTCTACAAGTGATATCAGTGGTAGGCAGGTTATTATAAAAGAAACAGTGTTCTGTAATACTGCTTTTAGTTATTCTGAGACTGGAACTTTAAACCTAACATTTTTTAAAGGACAGGAGGTACTGTACTTTCACATCTTCCAATAAACATTCATTACTTTATTTTGAATTTTTATGTTGTATGTTTCCAAACAAGGCCTCCAAGGAAGACACGTTTCTTAATTCTACCTGCAACAATCTTAAATCCAGGCAACAATCTTAAATCCAGGATTAACCTGGGGACATTTATGTTACAGAGTGCAGTATCAGAAACATGCTTATCTCATCATGATCTCTAATCATAGCCTTTAAACTATCACTAATGTAACGTAAACTTTACGCTCCAATATAACCTGGGTGGGTAACAATATTTTATTTTATTTCATTACATAACAATCTTATCATGATGATTAAACATAAATAAGAATTATTTGTTTCAATGGCCCGTCACTTTCAGCACATAAAGCAAAAGAAAAAAAGTTTATGTAGGGTTTATATATACAGAGTGCATGGCAAAGGGTTAGAAACCAATGATGCGACTCTACACAGCAAGGGAAATACACCTATATCCAATATGATCCACAGCTCTTCAAAGCAGATCCATGCTGGCTTCTGGTGCTAAAACTGCTGTAGTAATCCCGATGACTAGAATAAGGGTAATTTTTTCCACTCTAACCAACAGCACCTTTGATCTGACAAGGTACTAATTGGCAATTTAGTAACTTTTAAAAACTTTTTAAAAACTGTTTGGAGACAAGAAGCACTCACCTTGAATCCGATCTCTCTCTGTGTGCGTGTGCGTGCGTGTGTGTATAATCGCTGGATTTTAATTTGATTTCATCCATGCCAAATCCAATGCAAATTGTGGACAACTAATGTAGATGCCCCCAAAGTGAGATGGAGAAAAAGGATGACAATTATATATCTAATGGGCTTTTTTTAAAAAATGTACTCTATACACACACACACCCTTGGCCTAACAATTATGCTCCATTTGTCTGAGGAAGTGGACTGTAATCCATGAAAGATCATAAAGGTGCTGTAACTCTTATTATTTGATAAAGATTTAATAAAAATTTCCAATGATTTTTTTTCTCCCCAGTAGTGACGTCCATAGTGAAAATGAAAATACAGAGCAATCAAAGGATAATCATGAAGAGCCTCTGTCCAATTCTGAAGATGATACAGGGATAGCACCACTTAACCTTTCCAAGAAGCCACAAGGAAGCACAATTCATGAACATATGTACAAAAACACTTTCCAGCTGGAAAATCAGAACTTTATGGAACAGCAGGAAGTGCCTCTGAATCTCTCAGTAAAAGACAACCATAACAGAAAAGTATTCCTGCAGAGCCCATCACAAGGAGCTGAAGACGGAGAATCTCTAAAAACAGAAAATCACAATATGGGAACAGATGAATGCAACTCCAAGAGGACTGCCTTCGATAAGTCTCTTAATGCAACGCAAAGGAAAGAACCGCAGGAACTCACAACAATTGACAGTTGTGATGAGCAGAAACAAACTGCAGCTGTTGCTCTTTGCCAATTAGCTGCATATAGCCCTAATAAACTCCAAACAGGCAATACAGAGAATAGTAATCAGGAGAGCAATTCTCAGTGTACAGATTCTGCTCCTGAACCATCAGATGTACCAGACAATCACTGCAGTCAAAAAACAAAAGGACAAAAAAGGGCTAGTCAAAGAGAAGCAGCAAAAGGGCAGCAAGGAACAAAAAGAGTACGAACAAATGATTGCAGTAGAGTGTTTACTCTGAGAAAGAGAACCAGGGTTTCATAATATTTCACTTTCTAATGCACCACCAACTACACAAAACAGAAGTTGTCAACGGCTCTATCATACGGAAAGCCAAGCTTTTTAGTACCAATTCCTATTTTTAAATATGAAAGATTCATCTGATCTGTTCAGGTTGACCCATGTAAATATAAAATGTCTTTAATTTTGTATTTTTATTTCAGAGCAATACAAGTTATCTCTGGACTGTAAACTGATTCTCTGAGCAAACAATTAAATGTAAAGTGAATGATACATTTTTAAAGTGCACTATGGCAGAATGACTTCTACATAAAACATTTATTAACAAAGATGTAATCTATAAGAGTGTAAACCTTATTCATGAAATCATGTCACACCATTCCTCTAACTTACCTTGTTTTCTTATCTTTTTATTTTAGCTTTATTTTTCTTATTTAATATGTTTTTGTTATTTTGCCACAATTGATCTGAGCTTTAAAATCCCCACCTACTCTTTAAAACTCAGTAGTTTGTGTGTTCTGAATGAAAATATGCGAACTGAAACCCAATTGTGTACATTCACAGAGACCACAAAGAAGAACCTGGGGTTAGGAGCATTCATATTCTCCTTGCAGATTTGCATAAATTTTTTCCATAATCAAATGATACAGTGAAACTTTTCAGTGCCTTATGTAAGAAAAACATAAACTTATATGACAATGGTTTAACAAGCTCACCCTAAAATATGTTTGGGTCAGCCTTTCTGCAATTGCCAGTAATAAAACTGTATGAAGCTGTGCTGGCACAGCACTGGTAGACCATACTTAAAACTTATTTATAAGTCCATCAGTCGCTTGAACAGCATGATTCGCCTGACAACACTGTATTTGTATTTAAACTGTAATGTGAATAATCATGTTCTTCTTTAGCACAATGGTGCTTGGTTCAGCCACTAAGGTCATTTTTAGTACAAGGATGACTTGTACTAAAATTAAAACTACCGTATTTTTCGCACCATAAGACGCACCTTTCCCCCCACAAAACAGGGGGGTGGAAAGTCTGTGCGTCTTATGGAGCGAAAAATACGGTAATTTAAGACTCAAGCTGCGAATTCTCAAAGGAGTTTCAAATAGTACAGGTGAAGTTATGCTTCACACAAATGCTTTCATGGTTGCCTGATTGCATCTCTGGACAGCAGGCACCCAACTTAATTCATGTTAGCACAATGTTGGTGAAGGTATTATTTCTACATTTTGCATCCATACAAATTTGTAAGTATTAAAATATTGGTATGTCACACTTTGTTGCTGGGGTGGGTGGAGGGCAGAAAACAGGTTTTGTGAACTTATTCAAAGCCATTTTCTGTTTCCAGAGCTATAAGCAAAGCAGATTTTCCTAATTTTACAGTAAATGCAATGTATTATACTTGCAAAGAAAATTATGACACAAAATAAAAGTGTTTGTTTCTGCTTTATTATGTGTCTTGCATAGAACAACAAAATCCACAACAGATGATAAAAATTGATTTTTTAATATGCAAGTATCAAAGACCAATTAATCATATTTCTCAAAAAGCTACAGGCTCATGAAATATTAGTTATATCATTTAATTTTGGGTAGGGATGGACACATGAATCTATTTTTGAAACACAACTATTTTGCATTTGTCCAGTCACATCATTTTGTTCCCAAATTGTGTGCAATTTTAAACTTTAAAACTGGCCTAGAAATTGATACACAAACATATAAAATATTTTAAAAATCCCACCCCACACACAAAATATATAGTTATAAGTGTATTTCCTCAACACGTTTTTGTTTTCCAGGAGGTTTTGTTTCTGTTTTTTCTGCATTGCAAAAGTCAAGGAAGCATGAACTATAAAATTATCTCAGAGAGTTTTCATGTGCAGAGCCAGGGTGATAGAACTCTTAATACGATGCCCTGTGTACTATGGTATTTTGCCACTAATATATATATAATTACAGTAAATATAATATATTAATTTTTATCTATCTATCTATCTATCTATCTATCTATCTATCTATCTATCTATCTATCTATCTATCTATCTATCTATCTATCTATCTATCTATCTATCTATCTATTTCTTTTTTTGGCTTTCACCCTGCCAATCTAGATTCAAACAAATCTACTCTGGGCAGCTTACAGTCCAAGCAATAAACAACAAGAATTATAAAAGACAATATCTAAACAAACAAAAAAGAAAAGAAAAGTAAGCAAAGTCCAAGACTGGGAAACACAAGGAACTAAGTGATGGAAGGGGGGGGGAGGCTTGCCTGAAGAACCAAGTCTTCAGCTTGTTTTTAAAAACTCCCAGTGAGGGTGCCAGGTGAATCTCAGGAGGCAAGATGTTCCAGAGGTGAGGGGCCACCGCCGAGAAGGCCCGGTTTCTAGTTCTCTCCTTCTGGCCCTCTCTTGGGGTCAAGGCCCTCAACTGGCTAGATCAAGTGACACAAGTAGAGCTAGGTGGACCTGCCACAAAACCTTGCTGTATGATGTGCTTTTCTTCATTTTTCCACTCAGGCAGTCATTCCTTTTCTGGGGTACCCTCTTCTTTCTCTCCCACCAGTCTACTGCACAGAAATGCAGGAAAAGATGGCAATGTTCAAGAATGTTAAGGGCCAAATTTAGACATTCAGCACTGTTTCGCACCAATGGAGACTTCCCTCTCCACATAAACAGTAGCTAAAACACAGGGATGTTGGCAAATCTTTGGTACCAAATCCCAAGTCTGAGTCTTTGATACCAAGTCCCAAGTCTCAAGCCCAAGTCCCTATTAAAAACAAGCTTTTTCCTCTAGAAAAACGGGAGGGGAGGGTGGTTCCAAGTTGCAAGTCAAGTCAAGTCCAATTCAAATCACCAGTGTAACTTAAGTCCTGATAGGAAGTCCTGCGACTCAAGTCCCCATCCTTGCCAGAACATATCAAACAGACCAAAAAGCCAAACATCAAAAATAAAAATAATAAAAATTAAAATTAAATTAACAGGACTAAAAACAAAGGTAATTCTGAACATATAAGCTGCAGGAATTAAAAATGCCTGATTAAAATGAACCAAATGCCAAGCCATAAATCAAACCAATCAACATTCCATTACAGAAAGGATGGACCAAACTTACCAAGTGAAGGAAGTTCCCATTTTAGGCCCAGCTACTGAAAAGCCTCTCTCATCTTTTCCAAACAAATGTACACATAAAACACTGACATGATACAGAAAACAGCCTATTTAAATTTCCAGTGAGGCTCACGTTGGAGCAGAAGATACTTTAGAACCCTAGTACGAAGCCAGGTACAGTTTCTGAAGGTCAAAACAAACTGAGAGGTGGAATGGAAACCAATACAATAATTGCAACAAGGGAATTCTGTTTAATCTGATTCAAAGCAGCATTTTTGGATGAACTTCAGTTTCCAACAACTTCCCAAAACAGCCCCTTGTAAAGTACATAACATCTAAAACTTTGAAGATGTTGAAAAAAGCATCAACTTTTGGCAAATACTAGAATATGGGAGAAAGGAACTAAAGAGTCACTAGTAAGGCATATGAACAGGATGCTTTACATCTAATCATAAGCCAGGGTTTCAGTTGCTAGATGGTTGTCCCTTGACTGTTATTAGATACAGGAATACCTAAACAAACAACAGACTTTAGCCTATTCAGGAGTTCAGACAAGGTTTAAGCAGAGTGTGTGGGAAAACAGAGTTCTAGACCCACTCCCTGAGCTGGCACTGTCTCCCCTCAGAAAAGGACAGTCTGAAGAGGAGATAGTCTGCTACATGAGGAGCTTTTCCAGGCAAAGAAGAAAGCCTGATTTTTCAGGATCTCCGACTGTGTGGGGAGGTTCCACGTATAGCAGACGCTTTCTCCTTCTTACATTCCTATCGCCAATGACAACAGGTAGGGGACAGAGCTTGAACTCCCCCTGTCCTTGTTTTCAAAAGAACCCTTTCCTGACAGCATAAGGCTTTTCTGTCAGTGGTTTATTTCATCAGAATATGTGGACCAGAAAACATTGGGTTGTGTCTTCAAAAGTCCGACAGCAAGCCTCCAGCAGAGATATCTAGAATTCTGTGGTCCACATATAACAATTATAAACCCAGGATGGAAGGCCTATGATTTCTTTACACCACTTGCTGGGGAGGTTCCACGTATAGCAGACGCTTTCTCCTTCTTACATTCCTATCGCCAATGACAACAGGTAGGGGACAGAGCTTGAACTCCCCCTGTCCTTGTTTTCAAAAGAACCCTTTCCTGACAGCATAAGGCTTTTCTGTCAGTGGTTTATTTCATCAGAATATGTGGACCAGAAAACATTGGGTTGTGTCTTCAAAAGTCCGACAGCAAGCCTCCAGCAGAGATATCTAGAATTCTGTGGTCCACATATAACAATTATAAACCCAGGATAATAAACCCAGGATTTCTTTAGTTATCACCACTTGCCAAGGAGCAGCCACTGAACCATATACTCTTGCATACTACTCATGAAAAATAACCAAAGGTTCTGCAGGAATTCTAGCTTACCATTATAAGCATACTTTCCCAATGTGTCATTCTTTTTGTTTTATTCATTGTTTATAGAGCCTACTCACACCACAAGATACTTACCACTGGAGAGCCGGGAGGGCAACAGCAACCCTCTTCTTCCTAATTCAGCGAGAGCTAAACATCCACCATGCCAAGCATTGTCAGTTTCCTGGAAACTATAATTTTAGAAAACAAAAGTTGCACTTGAGCTCATTTTCCAGAGTTTTAATATTCATAGTGTTTATCAAACATCTTTGTCAAAAAAGAGACAAGTTATGCACTGTTACTCTGCAATGTCATAGCACAAAAACAAGTTCACTGTTCCCAAGGTTTGGTGAAATGCTGAAAACAGGTGCGTCTATCTATTCATTGCTTTTCTTTCCCAACCCTTTTCTACTTATAGGCTGACGTTTAAAATTATCATCATCATTATTATCATCATCATCTTAGAACTGGAAGAAACCCTATGGATCACGGAGTCCAGTACCTGTCAAGAAAGTTCAGTGAGGAATTGAACTTCCTGCCTCTGCAACCAGATACCTAAACCACTGAGTTAATAAAATAAAATAACATAAAATAAAATAAAATGCCCAGTTAATTAAACCACCTGTCTTTAATGTTGTGAAGAAAAATAAGCATTATATGTGCTTCAAGTCAACTTAACCCATACAGTGAATTAAGACGAACATTCCAGGCATACACAAATATAGCTTGCAATCCTTAATAAAATAAATTAACCCAAGAACAGCAAAATATAGCTCAAAATGGAAAGCCACTGGTAAGCAAACATAGGAGGAAAGCTTTCTCAGTTGGTTCAGTTCAATGGCTTACTAGCTATTTCTCCATGTACCTAGTCCCTTCGCATCTCTGTTAATGAAAGATGCAACTAAGAAGAATAAAATCCCAACCTCCCATTCTACAGTCAGATGCCTAAGCAACTGAGCTATCCAGCAGTTCTCTATGTCTCTAATTAATCACGTTTTGTCCAAAAATAGGAAGACATGGTTGCCAGCTTTGTAAAACAGAAGGATACTAAACAAACTTCAAACCATGGTGTAATATCAAGTGTTGCTCCAAAGTAAATAATATGCTCCTAAATTGGGCTAAAGGTAAAACTATAGCTAGAAACTTGAGGCTCTGATCATTTGCTCCATAAAGAGTGAAGCAAAGTGAATGGATGCATGGACAAAAGTTTCTGCCTTATTAAGTAAATCAAGATATGTGACCAATTTGTCTGCACATTGTATTAAATAAGCCAAAACATTATCATCTGAGCATGGCCTACATACACTAGCACACAAAAATTATTTCCCCTTAGAAGTGTTAAATGTTAACAATGAGAAAACACAGTTCATCAGAATTTTCAATTCTTTCAACTGAAGAACAAAATAAATATTTGTAAAAAATTAATTGATGATTTATACAATAACTAGCATACATTTTGAATTCTCGAACAATCCAACTGACAGTAATGGATTATTTTGGGAGACCTTTCAAACCTTCATATTTTACCCTCATACAATTCTACCATAATCTGAATTTTTACTTGAAGCCAGATTGTCATTATCACATTCCCAGTGCTACTCTCCCCATTACTGAATATTATTTTAATGCCAGCTGTTGAGGGGAAGAAAACCTACCCAAACACCTATCTTTCACTTGTATTTCTTTGACGACAAGGCAAATTACTAGAGTTCATACTGGAGTAGCAAGAATAGCAAGAGTGAACCTTAACCAGTAGCATGCTAAACAGAAAAGGCAACTCTGCAGCAGTTCATGACAATCTTTGTGGGATGGCTGGACTTTGAGCATGAAGATATACCACAGTGACCCAAACTGTCATTGTCAACTACAGCAATCATGACAATAGCACTGCTAGAACAGATCAACAGGCCATTCAGTATTCAACTACCCAGAGCAACCAGCCAAATGCCTCTTCAGAAGCAAAGCAGTATTTCCATAACAACCAGCCAAATGCCTCTTCAGAAGCAAAGTGGTATCTATACATTCAACTATCAGCCAGAGGTATATGACCTGTGACCTTTAAAGGTACATTTAGCTTTCCTAACTAATAGCCGCTGCTAAATCAGTCCTCCCTGAATGCATCACCTTTTCAATTGACTTATGCAAATGGCCACTTGTCCTGTTGTTCCAATGACCCTGCATTCTAATGTTCTGGGACAGGAAAAAATGTATTTATCCACTGACTCTAAACCATGAATAATTCATAAATCAGCATCACAAGCCCTTCCTTGTAAAAAAAGGTCTTCCAACCACTGTTTTGTTCCTCTTTTCTGGACCTTCCCTACTTCAATGATAAGCATTCTCAAACGGAGACTTCAGAACCAGACTACATTTTCCAAATCTTATACAGTGGTGCCTTGCAAGACAAATGTAATTCGTTCCACGAGTAGTGCTGTCTTGTGAAATTTTCATCTTGCGAAAAGCGAGGATGGGAACCTCACAAGACGAAAATAATTCATTTGTCTTGCGAGGCATTGATCTTGCGAATAACATTCGTCTTGCGAAGCACGGCCATAGAAGCAGCTGTCTTGCGAGGCACCATCACAAAAAACATTCGTCTTCCGGGTTTTTCATCCCGTGAGGCGTTCGTCTTGCGAGGCACCACTGCATAAGATTTCTTTATTTATTTAAAATATTTTACCCAACTTTTCTCCTAAAGCATCAGGTCCATTTTTAGGGATCAGATCTTAGTATGTATCTGTGAGATTTAAAATGCAATTCTTCATGAAACAGAGGCTTAAGTATTTTATTTCATTATTATATACAGTTTCTCTTTAAAATAAATTAGGATCAATCTTTACTTTTCTTTCCCCTTTCTCTTCTCCCTTTCCCCCTCTTTTTTTAAAAACTCTTCTTAGCAGAATTTCTATTTGTGCTCCTTAACCCCCATGCATCTGCTATGGAATGTTTTACAGCTGACATCTGCCTTTCAGCTGAAATTTCAGCTGAAATTTCCAAAAATGTTTTATACAATGCAAAGTACTACCTGAAACAATCTAAGACGGATCCAACCACATCATCAGCCAGCTCTTTCGGTAATCTTCCAGTCAGTCTACCAATCCTGCAAGACACAACAGAAGTTGTGCATATTAGTGCGCTGCTGGTCACATTTTACAATTAAGCTGTCAAAACTCTACTATTTCAAAAGTATATTACTAGTTTTTGAATATGTCAATCAGTATTATTTGCAATTCCAACAGAGGATGGTTGGGATCCTACTAGTATCTGCATAACTTGCTAGAGCTAATCTCAGTTGCAGAATTAGGCACATGACCACACAAGAGACCAAGACATGGTTTGGCAACATCAATTAGCCACAAACACCGATAGGATGCTTGTGATTATAACTTTGCTTATACTTCTGCTCCTGCTAAGAAGTAAGTAGAAAGAAGCACCCAAACTCTGAATTCTCTGAGCAGACTCACTTCTTTGTTCCTGTAATTGCTTTGGTTCTGAAAGTAATTTAAAAGTCTTGTTTGCAATGCACATGGATGAACTTGTATTACTTCAGCCTCTAAGTGACACTTTGCTCAAAGAACTAATTAATTTAATAGTCCAATGCCTCTGATTGTGGCAGTTTCTGAACAATCTACTCAGCTAAAAAGGTGCCTCTGATTGTGGCAGTTTCTGAACAATTTACTGTACTCAGCTAAAAAGTAGAAACAAAGAAAGACGTGTCATCACACACACAAAAAGTCACAACAAACAGGGTGGAAAAGAACATATCATGCACACCACATTCCCAAGATCAGGGAACAAGAATGTCTTTGAAAAGTGTTTGGCAAGTTTAGTTGGTTCAAAATGCTGCAGCCAGACTGGTTGGCTGCAGCCAATTATGAGGAACATCCATTCCCTTCTTATGACAGCTTCTATGGCTACCTATCAGCTTCTGGGCATAATTTAAAGAGTCAACTCCTCCAGAAGTTTCAATGATTCAAAGGGGACTACTCTAACTGCAACTTATGGTGCCAGAATAAGTGACAGTTAAAGTAGGCTATGGAGGAGTTTACTTATCAAATCCTCATTGATTCAATGGGTCAACTCTAGTGTTTTTTTTTACTACAGTAAGAAACAGGATTACTATCTACTGTTATTTTCCTCCACAACTATTGGCCCCATCTTTCAGTACAAAGATTCAAAGGTAAAAACTGCTAATATCCTCTATATTAACACACATTATTCCTCTGATGTCTCCTTTAACTATGATACTGCTCACTAACACCCCCCCGTCCCTTTTTTTGCTCTTCTCCTGTGTTCTGTTTTATTTCTCTTGTGGGGATGTTTACAACCAGACCTCAAAAGAACTGAACACCAAACACAGGTTATAAAATACTGCAATGTGATATGCAACCATACACCACTGACTCTCAAAGCCGACATGGATGTTTTACCTGTGATCTCTATATTTTACCATATTTCACTCGATATATCCAAAGAAGTGGGCCTGCCCATGAAAGTTCACATTACAATGTATGAGTTAGTCTTTAGGGTGGCACAGGTGGTGGTGGCGGCATTGGCTGTTGTCATTATTTAAAAACACCAGGCATAGTCAAAATTATGAAAACACAGACTGGTATTCTATAACAGATCCAAGTTTTCACCAAAAGCCAGAATAAGTGACAGTTAAAGTAGGCTATGAAGGAGTTTACTTATCAAATCCCCATTGATTCAATGGTTCAACTCTAGTGTTGTTTACTACAGTAAGAAACAGGATTACTATCTACTGTTCTTTTCCTCCACAACTATTGGCCCCATCTTTCAGTACAAAGATTCAAAGGTAAAAACTGCTAATATCCTCTATATTAACACACATTATTCCTCTGATGTCTCCTTTAACTATGATACTGCTCACTAACCCCCCCCCCCCGGTCCCTTTTTTTGCTCTTGTCCTGTGTTCTGTTTTATTTCTCTTGTGGGGATGTTTACAACCAGACCTCAAAAGAACTGAACACCAAACACAGGTTATAAAATACTGCAATGTGAGATGCAACCATACACCACTGACTCTCAAAGCCGACATGGATGTTTTACCTGTGATCTCTATATTTTACCATATTTCACTCGATATATCCAAAGAAGTGGGCCTGCCCATGAAAGTTCACATTACAATGTATGAGTTAGTCTTTAGGGTGGCACAGGTGGTGGTGGCGGCATTGGCTGTTGTCATTATTTAAAAACACCAGGCATAGTCAAAATTATGAAAACACAGACTGGTATTCTATAACAGATCCAAGTTTTCACCAAAAGCAAGTATCTGTTAAATATCAGAGCAGTATGATTGCTGTTCCTAATATTGCTGCTTTCTGTAGTTCAGATGGTGTGATTTCTGAGATCTGAAACTGCTTATACTGTAGTACTGTATGAAATTTCTTGATATTGTTCCCAAAGCCCCAATGACTACAGGGACCAATGAAGTGTGTATCTTCCTAAAGCGAGAAGTTTCAATGGCCAGGTCTCTATACTTCGTTAGTTTTTTCAATTCTTTATGCAACGTCAATGATCCGGACTTTTCTTTGTTCTATTACTACTATGTCTGGCATATTATGTTCAAGGTGTCTATCTGCTTGTATATGGAAATCCCACAAGATCTTGACTTCCTCATTTTCTGACACCTTTACTACCTGATGTTCCCACGGGTTTTTGGTGGCTAGCAAGGTTTTTTTTGGTTTTTTGTTTTCTTTTGGATTCTTTTTTGTTTGTTTGCATAATGACCAGTGCACTAACTTTGCCACTTTATCATGTCTAACTTTGTAATTTGTTTGTGCAATCTTTGGACATTCACAGATGAGGTGTGATAGTTTCATATTTTTCTTGGCAGAGTTGGTATTTGCTGTTAGCACTAATTCCTTGGATCTTAGCTTTCATCACGTCGGTTTGGAGTGCTTGGTCTTGGGCAGCAAAAATCAAGCCTTCGATTTATTTCTTAAGGGTCCCCAGTTTTACCCATGCTCATGCTGAATTATTACCATGCTTTCCATCAGTATTTCTCAGGTGTTGTCCATGTAGTGGTTTATTTTTTCCAGCTATTTATTTTCAAATTGTTCTTTCTTATATTGAGCCTTTGTTTCTGTTGTTTTCAAATATTCTCCATTCTCACTGCTTTCAGTAATTTTTCTCTGCTTCTACTGATAATCATTTACAATAGATATAAAAAGTTTACACACCCCTGTTAAAATGTCAAGTGTCTGTGATGTAAAAAAATAGATAAATCATTACAGAACATTTTCCATCTTTAATGAAACCTATGAACTGTACAACTCAGTTGAACAACAAACTGAAATCTTTCAGGTGAAGGGAAGTACAGTGTTGCCTCGCATAACGGGTGCCACGTTTAACAAATCCGCATAGCGATGATGTTTTTGCGATCGCTTTTGCGATCGCATAACGATGTTTCCTATGGGGGAAAATCACTTTGCGATGATCAGTAAGCTGTTTCGCTTACCAATTTCCACATAGCGATGATTTCCCCCCAGCTGATTGGCGGTTCCAAAATGGCCGCCGGCTAAAACAGGGACGGATTCTTCGCGTACCGGGCAGCTAAAATGGCCGCCGTATGGAGGATTTTCACTTAAAAGGTAAGTTTTAAGCCCATAGCAACGCATTGAAGGGGTTTCAATGCATTCCTGTGGGCTTTTTAATTTCAAATAGCGACAAAATCGCCTTGCAACGATTTTTGCTGCGCGGATTATCGTCACTATGCGGGGCACCACTGTAAAAATAAAAAACTGAAATAATATAGTTACATCTGTGTGCATACCCTCTTATAACTGGGGATGTAGCTGTGTTCAGCAGTAAACAATCACATTCAAACTCATGTTAAGTAGGAGTCAGTACACCCCTGCCATCATTTAAAGTGCCTCTGAGCAATCCCAAACAAAGATCAGCTGTACTAGTAGGTCTTTCCTGACATTTTCTTAGTCACATCCTACAGCAAAAGCCATGGTCCGCAGAAAGCTTCCAAAGCATCCGAGGGATCTCATTGTTAAAAGATATCAGTCAGGAGAAGATTATAAAAGAATTTCCAAGGCATTAGATATACCATGGAACACAGTGAAGACAATCATCATTAAGTGGAGAAAATATGACACAACAGCAACACTACCAAGAACTAGATGTCCCTGCAAAATTGATGAAAAGACTAGAAGAAAATTGGTCAGGGAGGCTTCCAAGAGGGCTACAGCAACATAAAAGGAGCTGCAGGAATATCTGGCAAGTACTAGCTGTGTGGTACATGTGACAATAATCTCCCGTATTCTTTATATGTCTAGTCTATGGGGTAGAGTGGCAAGATGGAAGCTTTTTCTTACAAAGAAAAACATCCAAGCCCGGCTAAATTTTGCAAAAACATACCTGAAGTCTCCCAAAAGTATGTGGGGGAAAAGTGTTATGGTCTGATGAAACCAAGTTTGAACTTTTCAGCCCTAATTTCAAGATATGTTTGGCGCAAAAACAACACTACATATCACCAAAAGAACACTATACCCACAGTGAAGCATGGTGATAGCAGCATCATTTGGACCTGTTTTTCTTCAGCTGGGACAGGACCTTAGTCAAAGTAGAGGGGAATTATGAACAGTTCCAAATTACCAGTCAATACTGGCACCAATCCTTCAGGCTTCTGCTAGAAAGCTGAACATGAGGAGAAACGTCATCTTTCAGCTGACGTTCAGATTCCAAAAGATCTCCTGTGTGGAGAATTAGTGCAGGGAAATCGCCCCAAAGGGAGACCACAGCTGCGATACAAGGATACCGGCAAGCGGGATCTGAAGGCCTTAGGAAAGGACCTCAACAGATGGGAAACCCTGAAATCAGAGAACTCAGCCTGGAGGCAGACAGTGCATCATGGCCTCTCCCAATTTGAAGAGACATATACAGCAGGCCGAGGCAAAGAGGCAGTCCCAAAACCAGCAAAATCAGGGAGCTGGACAGGGGACAGATTGTATTTGTCTTCAGTGTGGAAGGGATTGTCACTCTCGAATTGGCCTTCTCAGCCACACCAGACATTGTTCCAAGACCTCTATTCAGAGCACATTACCCATAGTCTCTTGAAACTGAAGGATGCCTACACTGATGTATTCCTGTGGTAAACTGGAGATAATTTGTCTTTAATGAAACAAAGAAGATGATACTGAAGGTGAGAGAATTAATGGCAGCTTTAGAATCAGTACAGTGGTGCCTCGCTTAACAGCAATAATCCGTTCCAGGAAAATCGCCGTTGAGTGAAAACATCGTAAAGCAAAAAAAACCCATTGAAACAGTGGGGTCAAAACTCACCGTCCAGCGAAGATCCTCCATAGGGCAGCCGTTTTCGCTGCCTGTCTTGCGAGGAATCCGTCCCAGAAAACAGCGGGGAGCCATTTTGTTTACCCGTTGGCCATTTTGAAACTGCCAATCAGCTGTTTTAAAATCCTCATTTTGCGAAGAATCGGTTCCCGAAGCAGGGAACTGATCATCGCAAAGCGAAATTCCCCATTTAGACCATTGTTTTGCAATTGTGATCGCGAAAAGACTGTCGTAAAGCGGATTTGTCGTAATGCGGGGCAATCATAAAGCGAGGCACGACTGTAACTCAAATCTGATTGCCATCTAATGCTTCAGGGTAAGGTAGACAGATAAGATAGGCCTGTGGACTAACAAGTGTAGGGAACACTGATGTGGTGATCAAATTTATATTCAATGTGTTTAAATATTTTATTATTTTTTTTCAAACATAAAACAAATACAGTGAATTATATATAGAGAGGTTTGACATAACCAATCAACTTTGTGGTTTCAAGGCTCTAGTTAGAGATACTAAAATATTAATCTTTGGAGAAGCCCATATGACACCTACCCTTTTGCTGCAGACCATCTGACAACAGTGTCCTTATCTTTCAGTCCGATCAACAACTGCTCTGTGAAAATATAGAGTAGTGCAAAATACAAATCATAATAGGCACACAAGCTGAAAAATATCTAGGACACTATATTTGCAGCTCTCTCTTTTTATATCTCATTCCTTCCCAAAGGAAAAAAGCAGCTGCTTCCTCTTCACATTTCACTGAAGGAAACTGAGGACAAATCTTTTTAAAAGAATAATGACAAAAAGTTGAAAATAGTGTAGAAAGGTGGGGAGAGCCTTGCAACATACCTTATTTTTCTGTGTATAAGATGATACTTTTTATCAAAAATCTTTAGACTAAAATTGAGTGTCGTCTTATACATGGGAATAAGGGAAAAGGGATCAAAGTGCTGCAGGATCGCAGCCCTTTGATCCTACAGCCCTTTGATAACTGCTTCCTAAGCCCCAACCCACTCTTTTGCCTTTTGTGCAGTCCTTGGTATACCTACAGCTGTCCTGCAAGACCACATTCATTCATTCATTCATTCATTCATTCATTCATTCATTCATTCATTCATTCATTCATTCATTCAACTTGTATACCACCCATCTGGCAGCCAAGGTCACTATGGGCAGTTTACATATTAAACAAGAACAATTCAAAACAATAAACATAAGAATTTTAAAATCAAAATCAAACAACTGACAAATTCAAGTAAAAATAATTAAATAATATAAAAGCAAGATGGGAGGACTAATATTATAAGCGTTAAGACCAATCACTATATCAAGGTGTTATAAGGTCAGGGAAGGTCTGTCAGGGAAAAAAACATATTTTTAACAATTGTTTGAAAATTCCCATTGATGGGGCCAGGCAAATTTTGGGAGGGAAGTTATTCCAAAGTTGAGGAGTGACTGTCAAGAAGGCCCGATCTCTGGTCTCTGGCAGTTAATCTCTGCCCTACTTTCAAGTTAAAAAACAGTAACACTATGAATGAAGAACTGATTGGCTGGGAAGATGGGGAAAATAATAGAGCCAGGAGTACACAGAAAGCTGTAATATTTCTCCTAATATTATAAACAAAATGTAAATGAAACCAATGTCTCTTGCTTCCCAGGTTGGATAAGAAGTAAAAGAAAACATTCACAAATCATATTAGTTGCACTTTCAGAGCTTGTGTTGCTATCTTTTTGCATTAAACATACCTACAACATTTTCAACCTCTCCTGGAATGTCATATTCCTCTTCCTCCTCCTCCTCTTCCATGGCAGGAACTGCCTTTGAAACTTTCTGTGCAGCAGCACTGCCAGTAGAACACTGCAGATTTTCAGCTAGAGATCGGAAACCCCGCTTATACCTAGTAAGACAATTATGTAACTTTACCACATTGTTCGTATGTTAAAAGCTTATCTCAGATATAGGCACACTTCATAATATTTCTGAGATATGCTTAAAAGTATATATAAAGCATTGATTCTCAAAAGTATTTTTTCTTTACAAAAGAGTATCTAGCAAAAACTGAAGTGTGAGTATAGATCACAACACGTAAGAAATCTCACATTAACCATGAAAGCTCACATTAAAACATAGCATTTAGTCTTTAAGGTGCCACAACGTTTTTGTCTTCTTTATTTTTTCATTTTTGTTTTGTTTTTGCCTGACATGCCAACACAGACTAACACAGCTATTTCTTCTAAAACTACAATTTTTAAAAAAGTAAAGTTCCTCAGCTACTTCTTAAGCAAGCTGCCTTCCACTTAGTGGGCAGTTGTTGCTTGCTGGCAGCTATATCACCAGAAGTGTTTTGCTAGTTTCAAAAAACACATGTTTTTCTCCAGACATTGTGCATTCCTCTGGTGACATAAATTTCAAAGATTTTGGATAAACTGTACAGCCTCATACATAATAATCCCAGTTCAGTTTATCAGAAGGTATGATAAAACGTTTAGATATATTTAAAGTATTTCTAGCTCAAGCCAAAGCACAACTCTATATATGTCCTAGGACGAATGCATGCAGCATAGAATATTCAGTTTTTTACATTCAAACTGTATACCTCCATGCTGTATCACAAAGTGTTTTTGAAGATCCTTGAGTTCCAAAAATAAGGTTTATCGTGTGACAAAGAGCAAGTGACCCATCTCAGAAAATCAAGTCCAAGTTTCTTCAGTCATGCAGCAAGAGTCACATTTATCTTTTAGGCCTATGACTATCTTTAAGGCTTATGAAGAACCATGAAAACCTTCAAGTCAGTGTTCAATCAACTCCTTATATCTAAATAGTGCAAAAACTAACAAAAAACCACATAATGCAACCCAGAATGTCTACTGGCTATCAAACTGGAACCAAGGTCTGGAAGCAAAAAAGAAACAAACTATAACAAGGAAGACTTTTCTTAATACCCCTTGTAAGAATGATAATTGGCAAGGCAGCCCTTAAATTAAGATCCTAATACATATTCATTGTAGAGGGGCTTGTCCATCAGTAATAAACTTTTTTTAAGCCCTGAGACTTTGAATGATAAAAATATAAGATATTTCTTTTTAACCTAACACAAATATAAGAGTGATTGGAAATTCTGTAAAATTAGAGATTTGTACTATATTACACTGCATACATCTGATTTCCTAAATATAAACCACAACGTTTTCCACCATGAGCATTGTTTCTTTTGGGGGGGAAATAGTGCTTTGTTTTTACATCATCCTACACCTACTTTTGGAAGGTGTGTATAAATGCAGAACAAAACACCAGAAACATGAACTAGCGATGTAATACAAAAGTAGAAGGAATATTAAAGTTCTTATACAAATATATTTTTGTCACCAAATGACCACTGATTACTCATCTATTTCTAGCAACAATAGATTTTACCGCTGAGGTTAGAAGAGAAAGGCAAGCTAAGACATGATGGTAAGCAGAACAAACCTCCACTTTGCCACCTTTGGCTTAAGAAATGTCAGGCCGAGTCGTTGAACAAGTTTCACTCCCAGCTTCCGAAGAAGAGTTTGGTTACTTTCAGAGAGTTTGCAGTTATCAAGGCATTCAAGCACTGTACTAGCTGGAAGGAACAAATTTCTCCATAAGTAAGTGTACCACATTAGTACTGTCCATCTTATTTTTAGCATATATTGTACTATGCATGAGAAGGTATACTAAAATATAATTGATCAGATCTAGCTTTACTTATACTTCATGTAGAACCAATGAGATTAAAGTGGTAAAATAGTCTTGAGTATGCCATAATTCCTGACTCATGACTCTAGCTTGCTTGGAAAGCAATATGCCAGACATCCCTATTTGGATATAACTTCAAACAAGCCACAGATGAAGGCTTCCTGGTTCTTTAATCTTTTCTGCTTGTCAAGAGAAGTTAATAGAGTGATCAAGACCATGCCTAAGCACACTTGCTCATTCCCAGGACATTTATTTTTTGCCCATTTCCCTGAAAATAACGCAAAACGCATTAGGGCTTATTTTCAGGGGATGTTTTATTTTTGTCATGTACAACCATCTACATTTATTCAAATGCAGTCATGTCATCTTCTGGTTGCTGCACAATGGTAGAGGGCGGGCTTAACTAGGGCTTATTTTTGGAGTAGGACTTATATTACTAGCATCCTGAAAAATCATACTAGAGCTTATTTTCAGGTTAGGTCCTATTTTAGGGGAAACAAGGTAGTAGTTACAATTTGTGTAAAATGACTACACATAGCCTTTAAAAATTAAGGAATTAAAAGGAAATATTATTAATAGCCAAAGAAGCAGATGATTATACTGTATTTGTCACCTGAAGCAATGCTCAAGCATTTTAAAGAATGTCCCTAAAGCTACTATATTAATAGAAGAACCAGTAAGCCTGCATAGTTTTGAAATTTAACAACCATTTTCTTTGGTGGGGAATATAGAATATTACACACTGATTTTAAAAGCTACTATTGTTTTGCTTAGACACAACAGAACTCTAAATATTTGTTGGAGGTTAAACACAAAGGTTCATAATCTCCAGTTTAGCAATAGTAAAGAAATGCAAAGGTGCTAATTGAAGAATTAGAATAATGCTAGTATCCAGAAATGAGGGTGGATTCATAAACTGCCCCAAATCCTCTTGTATACCTACACATTCGGAGACAAATAGTCCCAAGTTAAGAAATCACTACAGACTTGATCAATTCCACACAACTCAGCATGCAACAGATACTGTCTATAAGTGATTTCTTAATTTAACACAATCTGCCTCCAGAAGTTACACCATTTCTGTTGCACCAGTGTAACAGGGCCGTTGGTTTCATCTCTTTACTTTAACAAGGCATATACTGACGCATATGGTTGGATTTGTCAGTGCTTTTTTATTGAGCATGTGTATGTATTGACAACATGACATTAGAGACATTTAAGAAATCTGTTCTTAACAAATTCCTGAGGAACCTGATTAGATGCACAAATCCAAGCTAAAGTGCAGATCAAATGAAGTCATTTTTCAGACTGTACTTCTCAGCTAATACATTCATCAAAATACATACATAAATGTGTATTTTAGGACATGACTAGATATAAATGCTGTGACTGAAAAGATGTCCAGAACCTATTGGGACAAAATTGATTTCAGAATGCTGAAAACATGCTGATCTGACTGAAAAGAGTAATATAAATGAACTCATACATCCAATCCAATTTGATGCACCCTCAGACATGCATGCTTATATGTATGACAAATCAATAAACACAGAAAAAGAAAGCAACATAGGTAGCAATTATCAATCTACAATAACAGCTGAGAAAAAAATAGGAACAATTCAGTCAATGTGAAGCATTTTTGAGACCGCAGACTTCGATTCTGGACTCTACAAGAAGAAAACCAGCAGCAGGAGACTCCTCTATCCCCACTTCATAAAATCATTATAATAAGGGACCCTTATGGATCATCAAATTCTGCCCCTGTCAAGGAAGCACAGTGGGGAATCTAACTCCCATGCTCTGGCTCCGCAACCACAGACCTAAACCACTGAGCTATCTGGCAGTTCTTAAACAGAATAGTTGAGTCAGAAGGGAGGGGCCTATAAAGCCATCAAGACCAACACCCTGCTCACTGCAGGAATCCAATCAACTTCATAAAATCATTATAATAAGGGACCCTATGGGATCATCAAATTCTGCCCCTGGGGAATCTAACTCCCATGCTCTGGCTCCGCAACCACAGACCTAAACCACTGAGCTATCTGGCAGTTCTTAAATAGAATAGTTGAGTCAGAAGGGAGGGGCCTATAAAGCCATCAAGGCCAACACCCTGCTCACTGCAGGAATCCAAACAATCAAAGCAGAACCGCCAGATGTTTGTTTAATTTTCTTTTGAATATCTCCAGCAAAGGAGCACTCATCACCTCCTGAGGTAATTGGTCCCATTGTCGTACTGCTCTAACAGTTAAGAATTTTTTCTTGATATTCATTCATTCATTCCCCGTTTCCAACCAAAAAAGGTTCTCCAGAGGGAGAAGAATCAGATACAGGGAGCAGCAAGATAAACTAAACCCAAATTGGAAGGAGCCTGTTTGCACAAGTTATTTTTACTTCATTTTGGGGTGAATTTTCCTTTTCAGTAAAACTTTGCTATAAAACTCATGTTATTCAAGACAGTCTTCCTTCTACAGTAGAAGCTGAGTAAAAATGAATACTTGAGATATTTATAACACTATGAAGAATATTACCATATGGTAAACAGTCTTCCCTCTTTCCATGTTTAAAAAGTTTTGCCTGTAAAAAAAGAGGACAGATGTTATTATCAAAATACTATGAAACAGAGTGAATTAAAATCAACAATTTTTTAAAAAATCAAATTGATTTAAATCACAATTGAAATCTAAAAAATGATATTTTTTGACTTTTAAATTGTCAAAATGTACTTTTTAAAATTATATATTGTTATTTCAATCAATGTGATCTAAATTAAATCAACCTGGAAACAAATTATTGGCCAGAATGGCATTGGTCAGTAATACCCCCAATAATGGCAACAGCATAAATTGCATGATGAATTGCTGCTAGTTAAATCATGATCCATAAGCATAGCAGAGCTTTCAAATAATTTTTGTTGTTTTATTTTAAAGCCAATTAAAACTTGTTTTGCACCCAGAAACCACACCAAACATTTACTGTAAGGGAAAAAAGAGTAGCTTCTTCCAAAACCCTCCAAAAGCTTTATTCCTAACATGTTCGAACTGCCCAAAAACCATAGTTCCATGTACAATCCTAACAGATGCTAGACATGGGCTTTTGTTTGTTTTACAACAACTACAGGAAGCACACACACCTAAGGCCAAGCAGACTTTCATATGCTTATGGTAGTTGTAACAAATAACTGTTAAACTCCAGGGGAACTAAAAGGCATTGTGAGACTGGTAGTCTCTCTGTTCTTTACACTCCTATACATGATGATTCCTAAAAAAAACTACCGCCCACTCTCTCCCTTTGCAATGGTTGAAGAAAAGAACATGTCAGGCCTCAGGTGTATACAGTATACTGAAACAGCTTTAAAAACTCGGAATTCTGGCAGGGGGAACTGTGTTATTTGTAAAGAAAAAAACTGAAAAACCTGATAGATCCTGTGATTCAAGACCTCATCAAAAAAATTGAAACCATAGATGGCAGTCTTTTTTTAGTGTTCCACATGAAGCCTGACATGCAAACAGTTGCTAAAAAGAAACTTATACTTAATCCTATTAGTTTTCTCTTCTTGAGACATACTATACACAATTACAGAATTTGAACAGACTTCAAAGGTAATCTAGTCCAACCCCATATCAGAAACAGAAAACCTACTACTGTAGCATCCCTAATGGGTGATAAGTAGCCTTTGATTTCTAAAGCTTAAATGCAGAATAATTCATCACCTTCCAAGAAAATCTGTTTTGCTGCTAAATAATGCATATCAAAAGAATGGTTCTAATATTTGGACAAAAACCCATTTAATTTCAACCTGTTAATTTGGGTGCTACCCTAGAACAGAAAACAAACAGGTTCCACCATGTGACAGCCCTAGGAATATGGCTATCATATCTCTTTTTAATTATCTCTTTGTCAACATTGTACTTAAACTGTGGTGTCTAAAATGAAATAGAGCACACCAAGTGATGTCCTATCAAACAGTGTAATTCTGACAACAGACTTCTGTTTATCCTGTGCAGAAATACTACATCAAACTTTTCATTCTCCACACTGCATTGCTGAATACATTTGGCTCAATATTCTCCCAAATGTACTGCTCTTGAAACAAGCATCTCATTATCTCCTTGTGCATCAATTTCCCCTTGTCAGATCCAGAATTCTATACAAATATTTGTTTAAATCTGTTTTGTTAGCAGCTTCAGCTACTTGTGTGCACTCATCCTCAGTTCCCCTCCTTTCATTTCTTATGCATTTCCTTTTTATATCTGAGCACAACAGAAAACATACATAAAAACCTTTATTTCTTTTTATGTCTTCCATTTTTCTTGCTCATTAGAATTGTTTGCAATTCAGTACCTTCATTTTAAGAAACTCCCAAGCATATTGAAATGTTCTACCTGAGCATTTCTAACCATGAAAATGCACTTAGTATTTTCTCAAGGTACTCAAATGAGCTTTCCTGAAGTCCAGAGTACACTAATGTGAATTAATAATATATCTAGAGCTGAAACAGATGGCAAGTTCTAAATTTCTCTATAATTTCTATCTGTAGCAAAATGCTAAATTGTTCTAATTTTTTCCTTTTAATATAGATATTAGCCATAATCTATAATTTGAACATTTAAACTGGGGCTATACATTTATTACATCAGCTAACATACCACAAAATATTTTGCAAGCATTTGGTTTCATCAGAAACTTTTATCAGACTAGATGGTAAACAAACCGAGGTGGAGGGAGAAGGGGGAAAAAGCCGATGGATGCTGGAACTGTATAGTTTGCTTTCAGTTAACACAGAATAAGGGAGGAGGTGGCAGACACTCAAATTAGTCTAATCTAAATGCTATGGTGGCTTCAGGTTCTATTCTCCCTAAAGTTAATCTGAGATGAACAAACAAACAAAGGCTAATCCTATATGTCTCAAAAAATCCAGGTGCTATCTGGACCCTGCTACTCTCGGACTCAAATGTCCTATGGTAGATTGAAAACAGAAGCAGAGATAAAACTATGAAAGTTTAAAATAACCACCTCTTCAATTAGAGAAAAAAAATCTATAAAAATGAAGCAAAATGAAGTTAGATCTCCAGTAATGCTTCAGTTGTAGCTGAAGATTCTACATATCCTACTGAATCTTGCTGGGAATAAAATATAGACAAATACAGATGCTTTTATCTTCTTCTTTCTTTACAAAAAGGTAATCAGTTTTAAAACTGTATCCAAGACATTCGTAATGACAAGAGCACTGATTTAATCTAAGATAAAGATAAAGTGTGGTGGCGCTGCGGGCTAAACCGCAGAAGCCTTTGTGTACTGCAGGGTCAGAAGACCAGCAGTCGTAAGATCGAATCCACGCAACAGAGTGAGCTCTCATCCCTTGTCCCAGCTCCTGCCAACCTAGCAGTTCAAAAGCATGTAAATGCGAGTAGATAAATAGGTACCATCTTGGTGGGAAGGAAAACAGCGTTTCGAATCTAAGTTGTGCTGGCCACGTGACAACGGAAACTGTTTTCGGACAAACACTGGCTCCACGGCTTGGAAATGGGGATGAGCACCGCCCCCTAGAGTTGAACACGACTGACTAAAATGTCAAGGGGAACCTTTACCTTTACCTTTACTAAAGCCAATTTACTTCATTTCTTTAAAAGTATGCTTTAATATATTTGGTTGTCTCAAATGCTGTCCCACTGCTAACATAAGGCTCTTTAATCCAACAGAGACTTGCACCCTCACGCCTTCCTCATCTACCCTCTACTGTTCCATGGTTAGACTCATGGAACAGCAAATAATGTGAACTGTTCTCCTGGCCTCCTCCTTAATACAGGGATTTATCATCACCTTGTCTCTGGCATAGAGACAGCATTTCACATTAAACAATGAAAGCAGTAGCAGTAGCTACCAACCAGCAGCTAGCAAAATTACCTTCTGTTGCTACCTTTGGCCAGCTGAGAGGAGAAAGGTCTCTCGTGCAAATGGGGAGAAGAAAGCAGGAAAGCTTTTGTTCTATGCATCCACTATGCCCAAGAACAGAAATTTTAAGTCTAAGCCACCACAGGAGTCAGATCAAAGCCAGTTCACATATATGTACAACTGCACAAATGAGCCACTGACATTCAGTCACTATGAGCAGAAGTTTCATCACAGCACTTGATGTTAATTCAGATGCCCATACTTCAAAAGATTTCTTTTAGGCATTCAGATTGTATTGTGTCCCTATTAATTACCTACAGAATTTGTTAGAAAAAAGACATCCATGACATTTGGTTTATCACTGGGAGAAGTGATCAGCTGATTTAAAAAAGCTGGATTCTGGGATATTCCGTTGTCGGGTATCTTTCTGTAAATGGTAATGACCACAAGAGGGGATCTTATAGACCAGCAATGGCGAACCTATGGCACATGTGCCACAGCTGGCACACAGAGCCCTCTCTGTGGGCATGTGAGTCGGAAGTCACCAGATGGCTACCCCTAGCAGCCAAACCTGAGGTGGCTAAAGCCACAGGGCTAGCAACCCAACAGGAAGCGGGCCAGATTCTGGAGCAGCTGGCGCTGGCGAGCTGGCCAAGCTATAGGTAGTGGCGGGGTAGGGCATGACTGGAGGCAGATCTGGAGTGGCATGTGGAGGTCCCTTTGGGCCTGGGATTCCCCGCTGAGTTGTTTTTTGGGTTTTGTTTAGTTTTTTGGCGCAGTTTGGGCACTCAGGCTCAAAAAGGTCTGCCATCACTGTTATAGACTATGATGACTGTTGACACTGGTGCCATCAACATTCAGGCTGGCCTTTGCTATGTAAAGTTTTGCATCCTTATTCTTGGTTGACTATGAGGGTAGGATATTGAAAGGTACCATATCTTGGTGTTTTGAATTGCACAGAAGCAACATCCCATATTCATAAATGAGAGCAGGTTCTGTATTTGTTTTTGAAGAACTGAATTCTAATATCGTCTATGCCTTTACAGATGATTTTGATTACATAGCCCATTCTGCATATTTATGTTTGTAAATTCCCAGAATTTTCTCTCTAACATAGACCTATATAATTTTACATGGACCACTATTCATTAATGAAACATCACAGAAAAGTTAGAGGTACATTAAGGAAAATTCATCACAACCTGTTTCTGAAGAAAAAAGGAGGGATAATTCAGTTCTTTAAAGTGATACTTGGGTGTATAGAAAGAACAACAAAAATGTTTATTATTCAAAAAATACAATCCGTGACTGCAAGACAGCTAGACTGCCTTCTTCTTGAATTATTTCCTTTTAAGAACAGCACTGAACTTGAAACAGTTTAGGATGTCATGTTTCTGCATAAGACTCTTCACTTATTTTATGGACTTCCATCCTTATTGCTCAGCCCCAAATGGAATTAATCAACTGTCTTGCCATAACCACCTTCTCATTATGCTTAAAATATCCTTTCCATTTTCTAAACATCTCCTTAATTTCAGAGGCACTGAGAGTGCTACCACTACTGCTCTCACCCAAGATGACAGTCCAGCCATCATTTGCAAGGGTTTCCCTGAAGTCCAGGCTATCTGACCTGCTTTAACTAGATTTTATGACACCAAAGCAGCAGAGTACATAGACTACAA